TCACAGTCATTATTGCTGCTCCTAAGTAGATTTGTGGCATGTGTGCTAATCTGAAAGCAACTGTGTGAGGAGCAGAAATGGCCTCGGTGGTCTAAAGGAAGCAAATAAAGAGGTGGAAAACACTTCAGAAACGAGACTGTATTACTTGTTCAAGGTGGCAGCTCCAGAGATAAAAAGCACACAGTACAGACACGGCACAGTGTAGCAGTTAATGCAGTTACATTCATGTATTAGGTCATTACCAGATGAAAAAAGCTTAGGCTGAAATTTTGTTTCTGAGTAAAGTTTATCATCAGCAAATTATTTGAAAAGTACAACTTGTCACTATGTCATAAACATTTGATAGCACAAGAAAGATCAAAGAAAAAATGATGTGGAGAGACATGACAGTGCATAGAATCATTCTTCTTTCTCCCAAAAACAGGCAGAAAATGGAGGCAGCGGAGGAGGAGAAAGCAATTAGGTAGCTGGAGAGAGAAGAGAAGGAAAATTCCTGCTATCTCTCTGCTTTGCTTTGATGGAGTTTGGCGGACTGTGAAGAGGGGTATGATGAAAAGAAAAGTGAAATTATGAGAGAAAATGACATTGGTGAGGACCACACACGTGTAACACCTATGCAAGAGCACGCAGACACACACAGGTTACACAAAACAGCACAAAGATGTTCCTTGGGAGCTCTGAGCGAGTCTAAAAAAAGAGGCAGTAAGGACGGATGGAGAATTAAAGGAGATGTAACATTCTACTGTCCTTTGTCTAGTCAGAGACCGATTCAAGAGTCTCTTATGGGGTGGAAGATTGGCAGAGCTATTTGTCCAAGCTGTGAGTCTGCTTATCTGCTGCTTCCACTTTTAGCTCAGAGGATTCAAAGGAAACAAAACAAAACACAAACATTAGATAAAATTGTACCACGAAGGAGCAAAGCCTGAAGCTCTGCGTTTCAGAACAAATTGTGTCGATAAATTGTCTACCATCCGGCCCTGCTTCAGAGGGGATGTAGCTCAGTGGTAGAGCGCGTGCTTTGCATGTATGAGGTCCTGGGTTCAATCCCCAGCATCTCCACTTTTCAGTACAATCACCATTTATGATAATTAAGTGCGCTTATTATTAAGATTCATTCCCAGTTTCCTCCAGCAGATGGAGAAGATCGGGATAGAGGACCTGCATGCAACACCATGACAACCATTCCATTGGTGGAAAGCTATTAGAAAGCTAAAGTTAGATGTTAGGTCAATGTTCTCTAATCTATGACTCTTCCAACATTATGTGCAATGAAAATGAGCAGGGAAAGGAGCTGTTACTTTTTCTCTGCATTGACACAGAATGTCTGCAATTGTGCCTCAGATTAAAAGGACTTCATGCTGCTCGAAAACTCAACTCTGCCTGCTCACACTGAATAGCGAGCTGATTTCATGCTGGCACAAAGCTGGTGGAGGGGCACGGGCTCTGAACCAGCACCAGAACTGACTCGTCAAAAATAGGTATTCTCTGTGGAACCCAAGCATGGCTGTGTGTGTGTGTGTGTGTGTGTGTTTAGGGTGTGGGGGCGGGGAATAAAGATTACCTCAAAGCTTAACCAGAAAACCAATAAAGAAGTGTATTGATGTGGTGCTGATGGGTGTGCTGAAGCTAAAATGTGATGAGAAAATAACTCCCATAATTTGAATGCATGTCAAAATATGATGATAGTTTTTATTCAGCTGTTTGAAAAGGATTTACAGACAGCTTTGAGAGGCAGAAGCCATGCAGAATGATGCCTAACCAGCATAAAAGCAGACAAATGCAACAGCGCATGGATTTGCATGCCAATGATAAATATACAGTCTGAAGAAACCCAGAAGAACCAAGAAAATATGCACACAAATGTGTGAAAAGGCTCATATAGTTGAGCTTAATTTACACATTTATAAATCATATCATTATCAATGAGAGTATCATGGAAATATGTATTAACATGTTATTCTAATGAAAAGAGATGGGTAATTCATTTCTATTTGTCATTTCCATGTGCTTTCACTGATAACTAAACTTACGATAAAGAGAAAAGCAAATTGCATTCCCATATCAAACTGGAAAGCGTTCAGTGGAAAAGCTTTTGCATAAAATGAGTTTGGTTAAAAAAGCACAATTATTATGAATCACCTTCCAACCATCAATCCATCCTGACGCTGTTTGCTTGGAGGCATTTATTCTTTATGAAGTGCCTTCCTGCTTACGAGGGGTTTAGCTGTTGAATATTGCAAATATGGCCGTGTGTGTCCCATAACGACACGTGTATTATGTAACAGACTTTTAAGGCTGCGACTGTTTGCTGAAGCTGAGCATTAGATGAGGACAGAACATTTCTCACCGGGTTCAATTTAGTTACATAAGTAAACAGACTGATTATACACAGCACATGGAAGCCACATTCACCTGTTTGAATTGAACCCCCTGCACTACACAGTATTCCTCTGTATCTTTAAACAGGAATGCTCCTTTTGTTGTTTTTTTTTACATGTATGGTAGCAGCATCAGTGTATTGTTAAGAGATTATTATTCATCTAAGGACTTAATAATATCCCTTACATTATCCCTTTCTACCTGCTAAAGAATCATGCCAAAACCCAGACTGATGTGTAATTTAAAGAGGGAGGGAGTTAAGAGGTGCACGTTGGAGAGACTGGCTGTCACACAGAAACACTTATGCTGGATCCATATATTCTACTATCCCTCATTAATTTAGTCAGCACATAGCCATTATCTATGATTTACTGTGCCACAGTCTGAGTAATCATTTACAATAATTAGCTCTTTAGAAATACCAGAGACACATTGGCCTTTTTGGGATGGTGTAATATAGTATTTGAATGAGTATACGAGTAAATAAGCATGTGGATGAGCTGCTGCCCATCAGCAGATCTGCAGTGCATTAGTGATTAAACCAGTGAAAAGTCTGTTGTGACAAAGTCTCAGCACCATCTCCCTACTGCTAAACTCTACATTTACACAAGACAACACTGGTAAAGGTTCAACAAAAACTGGATTCTTCACACATATTTCCGTTCGCCAATAACTAATTTCCCCTCTTAAAAACATTTTCGAACTCTTCATTCAGTTCTTACATTGATCCAGAATTCTGTTTTAAACACAAAAAAAAACAGGGCACTTAGCAAGCGACTGCCAGCCAAAATGATTTTAAAAATTCATCCCACTCTGTCTTCATTGCAATTTGTCTCTTTTAACTCCATAAAAAATGTATTCCGTGAACTGGTTTTGCACATCTCACTTTATGTGACGATATATTGTTACCCCGCCCAATTCCTCTATTGTAGTGCATCCAATGGAACGGCTCTGTCCCTCTTTCTCTCACACAGATGCACATGCACAGATAAAAAAAAATATAATGTTATGTAATGTAATGTTATACACATGTGCACAAGCCTGATTTCCACTCTAATTTTTTGAACAAAAATGAAGGACAAATTTAACTAATGAATAAATAAACGTGAGGATTACCATCGGAAGTCTGCTCATGCAAAATCAGCAACGGTCGGATGACTTTTAACGGCTGATTCGTCTGCAGCGACTGAATACACACAGCCTTTGTATTGAGACTATCGGGAGGAACATAGTAAGGCAAACAAGATTTTCTTAAGCAACTTCTGGGAGCCTTAAGAGGCACATTATTTAGTCTTGTGAGAGTAAATTGAAATGACATTTGAATATTTGGATAACCTCATGAACAATTATTTCACAACTATCAGGCATGGCCGTGACCTATGGCTGTTTATTTATGGCACAAGAAATTAAGAAACAATTCTTTACTGAAGCTCAACGAGTAGTAACTAGCCATTTCCCCCATGCCTTATCTTATCAGTGTAAAAGGAGAGGTATTGTGAACCTAAAAGAAAAAAACCGCCTGGCAATTTTGGTGTAAGAAAAGGTCATTGAAGGGCACCCTTTGTGTTTGTTGCATCATTTATCATTTCAAATGGCCTCGGAAATACATTTTGTATTTCTGGGAAATTCCATGGCCACAGCATTAACAGTTCAACGCTCCTTTAGACTCATAATCCTCTCACACTGCACAGATAAAACCACATATGTCATCGTCAAAACTAGAACGGAACAGACAATATACACAACGCATCCTAACGGTGGTGGAGGAACCAACATCGTGTTCCAGCAACCACGATTTTCTGAACAACAAAAGGGTGCAGTCCACTGTCAAACTCAATCATTATCTATCACAACATGTCTCCACAGTTCTATTTCAAACATGTGAATAGCATGAGGCTCCCCTATGGATGTAGAGTTGGGACACAGCAGTGACATTTTCCTTTAGAAACGGTGTAAAAGCTGTGAGAGCAAATGAGCAAAACAAGTTTGCCGGCAGTGTTATATAAGAAAAAAAATTGTTAGGAAAGTAGACTTACAGCATAAACTTCTGAAAAACACTTAAAACCAGACATTTCCTCCACTGATACAGATGATTACATATCTCTCAACATTTCAGATGGGGATTAAATTCTTCTCTTTTAGAATTTTCCTCACTTTTCTTCCCCCTTTGTATAATTTCTCTTCCTCTCCACTTTCGTCACTCATTTTCCTCTCCTTCAGTCCATTTATAACCAAATCACACTCAACATCTAAACCGCCGTGTAATTACAAAACTATTACATATGATTATGGAGGTTAGGCTCCCTTGGAGTAGTGACAAATGTTTGGCTTGTTTTCTGGGAATCGTGATAGTGGTGGCTGATGTCTGGCATGTTATAAACAGGGCAAGCAGAGGCACTGCAGAGTCCTCAGTAGGAAGAGACGATCGTTAGAGCACACACAGAAAGAAAGTGAAAGGTGGGGGTAGCTGAGTACTTCTTAATGTTTCCTGTTGCTGGCTGAAATGAAGTGCGGTTATCTGCATGTAGTGCACTTCCCCAGCTGTGTGTAAAAACCGTGCTAAGCCTCTGGGCTGCATGTGCTCTGATTCTGAGTTTCTGTATGTGCTTTATCTCCAGTACCTTCATTCTCCGAGGCTCCGGGTGAAGGAGCGTCCTGTCCCCAGTCACCTGCACCACAGATCTGCACAACCAGGAGCCGCCTCAGTGACACCAGGTCAGCGTCTTTAAGCCCCGCCTCCAACAGATGAACAATGCTGCGCCCCGGCTGACTGGTCACCACGGTAATCTGCAAAGAGAGCAGCACGCCAGAAACGGCTTGAGTAAAGGACAGATGCAAATGTCTCCAATGAACTCCCGAACTGCAGTGTGTAAAAGGAACAAACAACAGCAAAAACTTAGACCAGGACATAAAGCAAAAGATAAATATTTTCTAAAGTAAAGCTCAGTGTCTCATTTTCATTGCAAAGTCATTCTTGAGGCCTCGCTTTTAGGTCAAAAAGGAAAATGAGGAGCACAACTGACGCACTCGATTCAGGAATGTGAGACATGCAGTGTTGGTCAAACAGAAGAAACGAACTCAATGTGGAACAAGACAAAAAGTCAGCAGTCATGATAACAAAGAATCACTCTGTGGAAGCTATGAAACAGTTGACATGTAATGAATATTCAGACCGTCTTCACAGCATTTTTTGGCCATATTTGTATTTCTCAGTGTATCCTGTGTGCCTGCTTATTATGCTTTGTTGAAATGTTCGTGCAGCTTGATCAACCCTCACAACAAATACCCTCATCCTCATTTGTATTATTATCAAGTCACTTTGATGTTCCTCGCCACAACTCTTTCCTAAAAGCTTTTCTGTCTTCAATCACTGCAGCTGGCTTCATAAAAGACAGGGATCCAGAGATGGACGGCATACTTCACCACAACAAAGCCTTTTTAGTGAGTGACTGTTAGATTTGTGATGTACTGCAGGGACACGACTCGCAGGACATCATTCAGTTACTAAACCGATTACATGATGTCAGGCCCAGTGCCCCGGTGGCCGTAACACAGTCAAGCTATATGTGATGTTATTAATGGCACCAGCACCTTTGGCAACTCTGTTCAATTTAATAATCTATTATACTCTAAACAAAAACCAGATTGCTGCCGTTTGAAGGATACTTCTTGTCATAGATATGGATTGGAATCTGCCATTCATGGCCAGCATCTTAGCTAATGAATAGCTTGGTGACAGCATGCTCCTTTAATCTGCTATTATAAAAAAAACAACTCCTCCTCTCTTTTCTCTGTTTTCTTTCAGCTCTGCATCCTAGATATGTCCACATCAACTCTTTCTGGATGAGAAGTCTTAATCGAGGCGTAACTGGAGCTTTTTAAAGCCCCTTCAAGAATTTTTTGCATAAAGCTGCATGGAGTGGAGGTGGTTCGATGTCTGTAAATAAAGATTGCTGTTAAAACAGTTTAAAGACTTTTTAGTGACAAAAATGATTTGATTGTACTGTAAAGAAAACTTTAAAATGGAAGGACACCAAATAAGTTTCCTGAAGTATTCACATGCCTAATGGGAGGAAAAAAGATTCTGTCAGCTTGATGTGAGCACACCAATAAATGACACAGATTTGTTTTCAGTAAATGATGATCATAATAGTTATTGATGTACTCTGGTTTTTGCAACTGACTGATACCAAAAGTAGAATCTGCTGCCGAACAGTGTCTCCCATCATTGGGAAAAACACACAAATGAATGCTTGAACCTGGTAAACGGACAAAAACATGTATTGTGTCAATGGCTCAACAACGCGCACACATGCACTCATGCACAGTGCTTTAGTGTCACTGCCTTGTGTCTCTTTAATCTGTCTGCTAATGGGCTCTTCACATCTGCTGTTGGAAACAATAGATCTCAGTGTATCATCTATTCAGAGCCTCCTAAAAACAGCTGACTGGGTTTGAGAAATCCTTATCAATAGCCCACAGTCTGAGGTTCACAGTAGTTTTCAAATTTAACTGGAAAAGCAATGAGTGGAACATTCCGAGACGCTTTTCCACCAAAACCGGGTGATTTCATCAGAGGCCTATTCTAGTCCTTTCCCGAAACTGTCTTCCGTTGAAATTCTAAATCTTAAATTGAAGCTTTGGAATAGTACAAGTTCAACAAATCCTTTAACAATGGAAGTAGTTTGATTGACGTATTTAAAAGACACTTAGTCAATAACCATGAGTCAAACAAATTACAAAGATTTGTATCAGTGTCCAAAACAACAGAGAAAAGAAATGTGCTTGACTATTTTTCGAACTGCATCTTTTCATAGCAGAAAAAAGATGTCCATTTTACAACTCTTTATTCAGATGAGGGGAGCCCATTAGCTGCCTGTGAAATGTGCATATGCTTGTTTCAAGTGGCATTTTGAAGAGGTCTAAGCTTCTAACATGAATTGGGTAAAATGCTTAATACATTCAGTTGGATGTGAGGAGAGCTCATATAACGAGTACAAGTGGAACCTCTTCTCTACATTAGCATAAGGTTTTAAACTCTGAGGGGTGTTCAGTGTGTGCTGGTCTGCTTCACGAGGAAACACTCAATCTAATCATCATTATAAACCTGTGTCAAACATTGTGTGAGAACTAAATGGGAAAAAGTATTTATGAAATTGAGAGATGGGCACTGGTTCCTCTGTGGTGGGGATGGCAGAGTGCACGTGTGGGGTCCTGGGTCCAATCCCCCGCATCTCCAGATATTTTGAGATGAAGACACTAGGCTACCATCTCCACATATGCAAAGAATGCGGTCATTTACTTACAAATATTAAGGTTGTGTGTTGGTGGTTGAAACTGACTGGCTTTGTAAAGCTTTTTTTCACCCTAACCTCCACAGATTCATTGTTGCAGGCCTGGTTTCTAGCGCCGGTGTGTCTGATGAACTGCTTAAACTGCTGCAGACTGTCCAGCACCGCCTGTCGCAGCAGATCACCTGCCCTGCCCGTTCCCCTGATGCAGGCTCCGTTCGGAATGGACCTCAGCTCTTCAACACATGAACGCAGCCTGGCCAGGTTACCGCGAACTTGCTATGAACAGAAACAGGACAAAGCGAGGAGAGCGGAATAGAAAGATAACGTTGATTACAGAAGGCAAGAACAGTAAAAACAATCGTGTTCATTTACTTCCTTTAAATATTTTTGCCTTTACTTATCATACCACAAATGGCAGCAGACACTCCTGCTGCCTGCTGATGGCATACAGGCTGAGCAGTGGAATCCGACAGGGTCCATCCAGACTACAGGCCAGTGAGAGGAAGTTGTCCAGAGCATCACAAAGCACTGTAGAAGTCTCTGACCACCAGGGTGGCAATGCCTCCACAAGTAGGACCCTGGCTGGCTGACGTGGGAATGACGAGGACCAAAAAACCAAATTTCCAGAGCCGCAGGAACCTATCGGCCTCTTTCTGTTGTCCATTTCTACTTATAAAAAAGAAATAAAGATAGTGTCGATTATAAACATGATGATGAAAGCAGCTCTCTACAAAAGTGGCCAAATTATGATAACAAACATTTTTTCTATAATCATAATCCAGCTCAGCATTCAATACCACTCAAAATATATCATCACTATTCCCGATCTTCAGCAAATTTAGTAATTCAAGAATTAGATTAATTGCTGTGGTATAAATATTTACTACATATTTACTGACAGAGGTACTACATATTTACTACATTTTTATGGAATATAGCTTTTTTATGAATCTGAGGTATCAATACAATTTCAGATTGTGTCATCACGTTCCCATAAATCTTCTAATAGGTCCATCTGTTTTACATAAATGACTGGTTACTTAGTTTGAAGACAAATAAATACATGCACAAAGTGTCCTCAGCCGGCTTCTGAGTTCAGATGATGTGATTCAGTTCTCCTGAGGTCTGGCCTCACCAGCCACATCAAACAGCTTTCACCTCCACACCTTTCCCTTGCATCATCTCTCTGACTTTTTTTCTGAATTCATATGGGTAAATGTGATCAGATACAATCCAACAGAGAAGCTACTCTCTGTTAAGCGGACTTGTATTGGCCTCATGTCAGTTTTTCTGGCGTTAATACACAATCCTGGTCCATATCACAAAACACACCACTCTTTGTGATGTGATCCTTTTAAGGCATGAGGGTGCTATCCATAACTATATATATATATTTTTTTTTAAATGTACAGGGTCAGTCAGTAGGGTATTGATGTGAATTATAGTTTCAATCAGATTCGATCGGATTACTTTTATTTTTCGTTGTCACTTTAACAGAAACCGAGATTAGCCAACATAGCTAACTTACTGTCAACTGTAGCTAACACTTACCCTTGCTCATTTTGAAATTCCTCCCTTGAAATGGCCTCTAATAAAAGATTATTTAACCAAATCACTGATACTAAACAAGTTATATTTCGGGAGAAGCTAATGAAAATTATCTCTGTTCATTTAAAGCTAGCAGCTTCCTATTTAGCAGGCTAACATCATCTGGGCTAACAGTAATGACAGGTCTCCTGCTTTAGCTTCTGGTGTCAGTCTAATGAGCGTGTAGATGGTACAAAGAAGACAAATATTGCACAGCCAAACAGTTTTTGTGAAAATGTACAAAAATACAGTGCTTTGGCCTTTGCCATGAGAGTAGTGAACTTTAAAATTTACTGTAAAGTGCTTTTGTATGAAAAATGTTGCAAGCTTCAAAGAACTCGAACAGGGTAGACCATAATGAAAAAAAAAAGGATTTTATCTCTACTTTTTTGTTTAGTGTCAAATTTTTGTAAAACTTCTCTCTGTGATTCGGGGTACTTTTTTTTTTTTTTGCTTTTTAAAATATGCAAATGAAGCCACAGGGACATACTGAAAGAATGAGAAATTAAATTAGTTCTGTTCTGTCTGGTTGAAGTACCTTGTCACAGTCAGAAATAGAGTTTATCTGGGATAGAAAGGCCTTCCAAGCTATGGCATGAACTGATGTAACCAGGACTAAGGAAGTGAAACATAACTTTAAAAGAAATGTCCTGTGCTGTTTTTACTTTTGGCCACGTTTCATGGTTGAATTTGGTAGGCCGTTAGCTCTGCTGTGGTATTCTAACACTGCCACACCTGTTGTTCGTCTGTTCCTTCCAATTAAATTAGTAATGGAAGTATTATTGTAATTACAACTCTACAAAGTGTGAATGTGCGTGTGTGTGTGTCTTCGCTGTTTAGCGAATCAAAGCATTCATTCCTTGAATGTCTGTTCATATCAAGTTGTGGTCAGATTTACTGATCTTAATTTGATGGAAATACTGTAAATAGATTTTTTCTCAATTTGCCAAAGAATTTAGAGGCGACAATCTGTCGATATAACTAAACGTGAGCCCAGATTTGAAAAGAAAAGAATAAATTAACTTTAAAGACAAAATGTCAGTGTTGCCTACAAATATTTAAAGATGGCTTTATTGGATTTGATTAAACAGATGTCGCATCCTTTGTTTTTCCATTGTTTGTGCTTTCTTTCATTGGTGATATATTTACATGCATGTATGTGTGCAGATCGATGAAAGACATGCTAGAGTTGATTATCCAGTTCTCTGCCTGCTCACTCAGCAGGTTACTGGAACCATTCAAGTGCTGCCAAATGTAATTACACAATACATGTCAGTCACTAATCTAATCTAATGGGGGGCTCTCCCCTTTAATATGATTATGAATTGGCAACAGAAAGGAAGCCTTTTATAGCCATGGACATGCATGGAAATTGTGATTCATCTACCTTTTTGTTTTGTTTTTTTCAAAATACAACAGTGGAAAAAATCAGGTTAGCTTCTAATTGACACAGATTTGTGAAAAACAAAAAAATGAAAAAGGACTAAATGGACCATAAAAGAAAGAGGCTCCTGAGAGCCTTGTGACTGCAGCTTCATCAATAAGTCAGTGTTTATAATATACCACAGGAGCATGAGTCTTGAAATAAAACCCCTGAGAGACACCTCGTGAACATGCATGACTCATCTGTGATTGAACATAGATATCTCTCGGGTTTATGGTGCGAGCCGCGTGACGTAATTGAAGTCAGGTGATCCTCTATCTTCCTCAGAGCATCGTTCATTTTCAAAAATCGTATCCTCAGTGGTTAACAAAAAAAAAAAACGTGTTAAATTCTACTTTATCTTTATGAATACTCTAACAGCCTAGCGGTCCACTAGACTTTCACAGTAATCATAAGTGGATAGTAAATAGAACACAAAGCTTTCCGTTTGCAAAATATATAAACATTCTTCTGAACCATAGGTGAGACCAAAAGTGAAACTTTTCTGTATCTGTGGGGCAGCCTTGCTAGTCTTTAGCCCTACGTGGTGGGCCTTCGACATAATTTCCCCCCACATATTATTTTAAACACATCCTATGTTGCTTTGGCTCATCACAGGATGTCTTATCCAATGAAGATATCTGTTAAAAAAGAAGAAGACATTTATTCAAAGACACCACTTTAGCCCAGATCCTCAGCCGGTATACAATTTCACAAATGGTCACAATCATGTCTGATTTATCTGTTGTCCACAAAGGAAACAATGGACACAGGTTTTCTTTGTGTTCCATCTTGACATATGTGTTATACTGAGATGTCCACTCCACCACCACAGGACAGTGTGCACAGTACGGCTCTGTACTGTACCAGCACAGCAGGGCATGGTTCCATCAGATTAATTGAGGTGACTTACAGTCCAACAATTCGCTCTGTTGTCTCTCTTCTGCATTCAGAGAAAAGAAAAGGGTTCTCATTTGTGGCTAAAGATTGTGCCAGCTGTGCCAGTGTGGCTTGTTCATGCCTTAAAACCCGTTGCAGACGACAGCTATAAGATCAAGTAATGGATGAGTTTATTGATCACTTCCAGACTTCTAATAGTTAACAGATATCCAGGGGTATTATTCATATCTTTTTATTCTTGTTTTGTATGTATTTATATCCGTAAATATTTTATTTTTGCTCTTCCTTGTATGTCTGGAGTAAAGGATAGACAAAGAACATGAGCACACCATGGCAGTGATGTCACCGCTCTTCCCCGGGTTTCTGCCAGCACTATGTCTTCCTCCAGGCAAAATTATGGGTATATATGAGATCAGTTAATTTATATACAGGCCAAAGAATCCTGTTAGAGTGACTAGGTTTTCATGCTCATCATCTATCTTGTTCTTGTGCTTAATACTATGAAGAGATGCGTGTCATAAAATCTGTTTATGGTGGCATACTGACTCATTTCTAACGCTACCAAAGCATCTGATCAGTTCTCTGCGTAGCATCCTGACATAGCTGTAGCAGCTAAGTTTACCCCATGTATTTAGGGCTGCAAAATGTCATACATTATTGTTATAAAACACTTTTTATGGAAACAATGCATTTTCATTAGCCCAGTTTTCAGAGATAAATGTGGAATTTGAAATGTATAAAGGGTTCTAGCAGAGTAAAAAACCGTTTTCCAAATAAATCTGCCTAATAACAAATTATTTTTGAAGATGACCAAGAACGGCTGCTAACTTTTCAAGGAATGGAGGACCAGCTAATTGGTGAGGAGCTGCAGCCAACCATACAGCCATTGCACCAAGCCGATCTAAACAGGGGAGACTGTGGTGAATGATAAGCTCCCAGCCTATTAAAGTTTCAGGCAGGTTGAACAGCATGAAAGGAATCTGCTCCACGCAACAGTAAAACTTTAGAAGTACCTGTCAAATTTTCATGAGCAAAAAAAAAGAAGAATCAAATTAATACATACAGGAAATCTTGTAGAATAAAAAGGGAAAGTGACAAACTAGCATAAAAGAAACCACATGCAACATTCTCACTCAGAGTGATTTGGCTCTCTGGCTGTGCTTTGAAAAAGCAATTTGAAATTTTGGGGGAACTGCTCTTCCTGTCCTACAAAGATAACTTGAAGCAAAAGAAACTCGAATTTAAAATGACATGGAGTTCCTTTAAACCTGCCGCTGGTCTCCTCCAGGCTCTCAGTGTGTTCCCTAGAATTATTTCTGCAGCTGAAAATTTTTCATGGCCATGTTCTGAATGTTTTGAAGCAGAGTAACATGTTTTCCTCCATCTGCCGCCTTCCTGGATGATTTCCTTTTATGACTCAACCTCTGGCACAGTCATTTGTTGCGCTCACATATTTGAAATTTAATAGACCATAATAGTTTTGACATATTTTGACACCAAAACTGTTCATTTTGCACACTCCGCGCCGCTGGGAAGTTGTTTTGCATGATGCAGCTGTCCCTGTGGTGTATGTCTGTATTTTGAAAGTATTATCAGTTTTTCATTTTTAGGTTGGTTTAGGGACAAAGATTTTGGGCCAAATTTTTGGT